CTCGAATTGTTTAAGGGGGCCTCTTAGGGCAACATCCTTGGTTAATTTTTGGGAACCATATTCTACTGTGATGATTGATTATTTTATTATTATCTCATTGGATATTTTCTTACTATGTTATGGTTTGTATCAGCCACCTAGAGTGGTCTGGTAGTCTAGATAGGTGGAGTATAAATCAAATCAAATCAAATCAAATCAAATCAAATCAAATCAAATCAAATCAAATCAAATCAAATCAAATCAAATCAAATCAAATCAAATCAAATCAAATCAAATCAAATCAAATCAAATCAAATCAAATCAAATCAAATCAAATCAAATCAAATCAAATCAAATCAAATCAAATCAAATCAAATCAAATCAAATCAAATCAAATCAAATCAAATCAAATCAAATCAAATCAAATCAAATCAAATCAAATCAAATCAATCAATCAATCAATCAATCAATCAATCAATCAATCAATCAATCAATCACTGGCTTCACCTAAGCCACCAGATGGCAATCCTTGGTTGCCTTCCTGGTTTGGTTTCTACTGTCCTGCCATTGGTTGGTTTTGCTCATTTCTGCGCTGAGCTGAATGGCTTCCCCTTGATTTATTGGGTTATTTGACTTCATTTGATTATTCAGTCTCTTTTTTTAATGTTATATGATACTTATTGGTTCCTTTGATGTAAACCGACCAGAGTAGTGTCCACCATTAATTGGGTGGTACACAAGTTTATGAAAACAACCAGCCAACCAGCCAGCCAGCCAGCCAGCCAGCCAGCCAGCCAACCAACCAACCAACCAACCAACCAACCAACCAACCAACCAATCAGTCTTTCCTGGTAGCCATGGCCGGCTCTGAATGTCTTTACCCACCCATGGCCCTCCATGTGGGTAGCACGATGATTTAACCCGTCGAGTGCTGGATGGATGGGTCGAAAGGTTGGCTGACCTCCCTTTTCTCCTCTCCCTCCCCTTCCAAACCAGGGTGACATCCAACAGCTTCTGATTGCCTCCAACCCGCAAGCTGCCTACGACTACTGTGAGCACTACAGCCCAGACTGCGACGGGGCCACCCAGAAGCCTCAAGCCCAAGAAGCCCGGCAGAGACCTGCCCCCAGGCCAGAGGTGAGAGGAGAGGCACAGGAGAGGGGGAGGGTGGGTTTAGGACGTGGCCACGGAATCCATACCGTGGATTCCCCTTCGACCTTCCCAAGCAACGAGGGGGAAAAGCAATGTTCTTCTTGGTGTTGCATCTCTCTTCCAGACACACGCCAGCATTTCACTCACCTGGAGAAGGGCCTAGCTCCAAGGTCTCATGGCCTAGCTCTGGCTCTGTTTTCTCTTCTCAAGACACCGAAAAGGAAGGTGCTGTGGTGCTTCCTGGGAGTTGTAGTCCCACGGTCCTTAAAGGTCTATCATTGGCACCACCTGAAAAAGTTCCACTCCCAGGAAGCACCGCAGCCGCTTCACTTTCCGTACATTCACAACAGGAAGTGAGGCTGCAGCTAGGCCCGGAAGGGCTAGGCGTTTCTCCCGGTGAGCAAAAGGCAGGTGTTGTTACATTTGGGACTGCGGGCTGGAACTTTCAGAATTCTGCCTACGGAATTCCTGGAGGATTCAGGGAGTTGGGATCCAAAAAAATGACATTAAGGGCACATCCCTAGCGGTAGGCCATATTGTTGCACTGGTGTGGCGGTTTCGTAACTTTAGATTCAGGGATATTTTTTAGAACACGTTGCCAAATCTGGTGCTCTTTAATGTACTGGACTATTACTTCCACAATCCTCCATAGCAGAGAGCTACAGGTGTGATTGTGGAAGTTGTACAGTAGAGCCTCGCTTAACGGTGATAATCCGTTCCAGGTACGTTTGGGTCTGCGGGCTGGAACTTTCAGAATTATGCCTACAGAATTCCTGAAGGATTCTGGGAGTTGGGATTTTAAAAAAATGACATGAAGGGCACATCCCTAGCGGAAGGCCATATTGTTGCACTGGTGTGGCAGTTTCGTAACTTTAGATTCAGGGATTTTTAAAAGAACAGTCTTTGCCAAACCTGGTGCTCTTTAATGTACTGGGCTACTTCTTCCACAATCCTTCATAGCAGAGAGCTACAGGTATGATTGTGGAAGTTGTACGGTGGTGCCTTGCTTAACGGCGATAATCCGTTCCAGAAAAATCGCTGTTAAGCGAAAGCATCATAAAGCCCATTGAAACGCATTGAAAATCTTTCAATGCGTTCCAGTGGGCTTAAAACTCACAGTCCAACGAAGATCCTCCATACGGTGGCCATTTTTGCTGCCTGTATAGTGAGGAATCCATCCCTAAACACAGCGGGGAGCCATTTTATTTACCCGGCAGCCATTTTGAAACCGCCGATCAGCTGTTTAAAAAACGTTGTTTTGCGATGAATCGGTTCCCGAAGCAGGGAGCCGATCATCGCAAAGCGAAATTCCCCCATTTAAACCATCATTTTGCAATCGCAATTGCGATAGCAAAAAGATCGTCGTAATGTGGATTTGTCGTAATGCGGGGCAATCGTAAAGCAAGGCACCACTGTAGTTTGATACCTGGGGATGGGACAAGAAGGGGAGAAGGATGCCAGAGTAAAATGATCCCTAATCACATCCAAAGCACACAAGTGGCCTTTTAAAGATATAGGCCATTAAGGAAGTAGCTGAGGACATCTCTTTTAAGATTGTAGGAAAGGTTTACTCTCAAACTTCAAAATAAAGAATTTTTTTGCTTTGGGAGCGGTAGTTCTGTGCACAGGAAACCATAATTAACTAACTTAAAATTTATAAGGTGTTGACTTCATTCTTTAATGAGTTGACACTTCTGTCTTCTCTCCCCCTTAAAAGACCACCCAGACCCTCCCCTTCTGAAGTCTGCCAAAAAGTTGTGAAAAGGTGGCACCACTTTTCAAATTGGGGTTCTGGAAGAGGTTTCCTACCTTTCATGATTAAAGATGGATGGGAGGGAATAAAGTCTTGTGAGCTTTGTTGCTGTACAGTTTCCAGAAGCGGGGCCACCAAGGTCTTGGAAGGTTGGCGCATTGTAACTCCTGCGCAAATGGTCTCAGTCCAATGGGTTTTTAATTTAAATTTAAAAAACAGAAAGGACTAAAAGTGGCTTCCCCCGCCCCCTTCACTAGAAACGTATTTAGGACCTAGTGCCCAATTCTCTGAACTGGTTTTCCTGGAGTTCAGCATTTGAATATCTTTGTTTTTTGGAAAACAAACCCCTGCTTTCTCTTACCCCCACCCACCCCCAGTACTATGATGAGGACATGGAGGAAGATTACCAGTACCCCTACTATTACGAGGGAAGGACGGGCTCTCCCTCCTCCCTGCCTCTAGGGGGAGCCAGTGAGCAGGTAAAGGGGAGCGGGGGCAGCCCATGCTCCTCCCCTCCAAAAATGTTTGTCCGTCAGTCTGTCTGTCCTCGTATCTGAGAGTTTCTTGTCCTCCTTATGTGGCTGTGGAATCCCAATCTGGTGTCCATCCATCCATCCATCCATCCATCCATCCATCCATCCATCCATCCATCCATCCATCCATCCATCCACATCCATCCATCCATCCATCCATCCATCCATCCATCCATCCATCCATCCATCCATCCATCCATCCATCCGGTTTGCCCGTTCTACAACAGCATGATCGGCCGCCAATTTTTGTTGGGGGAGGGATATAAAGGGAGCCCCATCCTTTCTCCTTAGTCCTCTCCGGTGGTCCTGGAAAGAGAAGGAGCAGTCAGGAAAAGCCGCAGGAGTCACCTCTCCTGACCGACCGCGCAGGGCCGTCGTTTTTTTAAGACTGAAAAGTGGTGTTTTGGGATCGCAGCTCCCAGAACCGAAAGAGGAAGCTGAGCTGGCAGCCGGAAAGTTGCCGTTCCTCAGCTCTGAGCCGGCCTGGATGGATTCTTCAGCCGAGAGGATTTCGGGAGAGACGGAACCTCTGTCTCCGTCCACATCCTGAATGCAGGATGCTGTTGATTCTGCCCAGGGATACCCTTTAATTCCCCCATCTTGGCTGCAGCTAAAAAGAAATACATCACTTCTCTAAATTCATCACCTACTTACTTTCCATGACTAATCTCAAATGGGAGGGGAGGGATTTTTTTTTCACCCCTTTCCCCCTTCCTCATCCCTTCTCTCACCCACTGAAGGATGTTGCCTCACCCCTCGAGAGAAATTTGACTGAGCCGTTGGTGACGGTGGCCACCGTTGTTGGGTTTCCAAATCCTTCCCAAAGTAGGGTCGCAGGTTGAGCACCCCTGGGCTCAGAGGACAGGCCACGGTGCCCTCAGCAGCCACCCTCTTTCCTAACCCCAGAGAAGCTCTTTTCCCTTGACTAGAGATCCCAGAATCCACAGCCATTGACAACAGTAGAGTAGACTTGGGGAATTGTAGGTCGCTGTTGTTCTTAAAAAGCAAGTTCTCCAGACCCTGCTTGTCTCTCGCAATTCACCGTGCTAAATGTTCATTAGTTGGAAATTACAGTGGTACCAAACTTCTCTCTCTCTCTCTCATAATCTTTAAACGGTCCATCTTCCTGGTGGAAGATGGTATTCCCTTGTAACTGGGGAATGCTCTCCTCAAACCCACCCTGTTCCCAGAGACCAAGACCCAAAACACATTAAGTCAAGGGAAAAAAGGTGATGGAGAATGGAACAATCCGGATGCGCCAGGCAGGCAATCTGTGGCCTGTCATGGCTGAGGGTAGAAAGGGACACGGACAGGAGGAAGGAGAAGGGGAGCACTGGAGAGAAGCGAAGGGTTGTGTTTTCTGGAGGGAAGCCGATGCGCCGTTCACACCTGCTGTTGTTGGAATCACGCTTGTGTTTGTCTTTGCTCCCTGTTTGTCATGTGGCTGCCACATCTTCGTCATCCCCGCTGCGACCTTCCTCACCATCCTCACCTCCTCCAATCTGTCGGCCGGCCGGCGCCACTAGAAACTGGCTAAGGGCAAGCCCGCCGCCCAACCCAAACCCAAGCAGTCCCAGAAACGCCAGTCCAGGGGTGTGGCGCCTGCCTACGTGAAGCCGGGTCCCAAAAACGGGAAGGACGGTTCAAAACACCTTAGCAACGGGAAGGCCCATAATGGTGGCAGCGGCGGCAGCAACTCCAAGGCGACTTCCGGGGGGAAATCTTCAGCCACGAAAATCTCCCTGGGCAAATCGGGGGGCCAGGCGCACGCCGGCGCTGGCGGATCCCGGAGGCCAGGAAACAGCTACCAGCAGGTAGAGCCAGAGGGAAGGATGATGGCTGGCCGGCTCTCACACCCTGGATCTCCTTGCCCCTCCGATGTTCCCCCCCTTCTGCCTGCCGTCTCATCTGTCTCTGTTTGTGTGTGTGTCGGTGTCACCCCCACTCATAAAATGTGCCTTCGTTCTCTGCGTTGCAACGCATGTGTGTCGTCCTCCCTACATTCCCCCAGACGTGAGATACGGAGAAGCTGTCCCGAGCAAGAGAAATCAGCCAGCAGAAGCTACAAAACATACCAAGGCATATCCCCCCCCCCTTTGGGTTGGGTCCAGATTGGATTCACTGCTCCCAAGACGGGGTTGGCGAACCACATCGGACAACCCCCCCTCCCAAGTTTTGGCTCTGCTTTTCTCTTGGACTTCTCTTCCCCCAAATGGACCCTCTCTCCACCCCCTCACCCTCCCTACCCACAAGATGCTGGCTTCCTTGTCCAGCCAGTGGAAGGGGTGTGTGTGATTCTGTCCCCCCTCCTTCAGATCAATTTATCTTGGAGATGGAAAATGATCTGGGATGAGGGGGCCTCCTCTTCTGCCCCCACCCCAGGGCGCAAGAGGGAGGGCGTCCGCACTAACTAACCATGTTCTCTCCTCTTCTCTCTCTCTCTCTCTCTGTTGATCGGCTCTCAACAACCCTCCCTCTTGCCCCCTTCTCCTTCTCCCCCCCTTCACGCACGCACCCAACACTTCCCTGTATCCTCACGGCCACCTTTCCAAGGATGTGGGGCTGCTCCCTACAGAACAGCCCTGGGTGGCTCATGGATACCCCGACTACACCCTCCCTCCTGATGAGGTGGATGCCAATTACTGGGAAGAGAGCCCCACGGGGGAGGTGCACCCTCCTGCCCCATCATCACCCTGGGTAGAGGTAAATGTCCCCCCCTCCCCTGTCTTCTCCAGTCCCAGCATAATAACAGGGAGGACCATTTGCTCCTACGTCTTCTGGGGGGGTGATGGCAAGAGGATACCATGGGAAGGGTGTGTTTGTGTGACTATTTGTGGAGCAACCAGGCCAGGGCAGGTGTGGGGCAGAACAACTGTTTTTTAACAGGGAAGAGGGACTGGTGAGGTCGACCCAGAGTTTTGAAGTAACATCCGATTAGTAACAACTGCCCAACCTCTTTAGCGCTATGGCTCTACAGCGCTGTGGGACTATTGTTCTGTGATGCTCCTGGGAATGACCTTTCTAGAGGTTTAAGGAAGCTGCTTGGACAGGGTCAGGAAAAAACATGCCTAGAGTTTGGTTTTTATCCCTGGACCTTCCCAAAGGTGCCAAAAGTATTTTGGCCCCAAATGGATGCCTCTCGCTCAGCAGTTCCTTACTTGGGCCCCCCCCCCCGATGTTCTTGGACTGGAACTCCCAGAAATCCTGGCCCGCACAGCGAGTGGCAAAGGCTTCTGGGAGTTGTTGTCCAAAAACATCTGGGTTACCCAAGGTTGGGACCCACTGCTCTAGGCCCTCAATCGGGCTGAAGCGGGGAAAGGGTGCTAAGGTTGTTGAGAGGGGTGGGGTGGGGAACAGACTGGCTGCTAGGGCCGAAATCCACTAAATCTGGAGTCACGGGGAAGGGAGGGGGAGGTAAGCACATTTTTGAACGTTAATCGTTCTTGCTGTTTTCATTTCGGCTGTGGCCAGAGACACGACATGAAAGAAATCTAGGCAGAACCAGGGTTGTAGAAGTCATCCGATGAGCCTTCTTATCAGGCCCTGTGTGAAGAATGGTTTCCAGTCTGTGGTTCAAACGTGCCCGGGCTCCCCCTGTTGAGAATGGCTGCTCCGGAAAACGAAGTTGGCCTGCGAGGAACTGGTCACTTGGCAGAGAAAGCGAGCTATGTGGGTGGGGAGTGCCCCCCCAAGGGCTGTCTGGATGGGGGAGCCCAGCGCCACCTCTGTACGCTAATGCTTTGTTGGCTTCCCCCTTCTGCTCGGGGGGCTCAGGAGGAGGTCCCCGACCTGCATCCCAACGAAGCGGTGGTGACGGAAGAAGAGGCGCCCAGTGTGGCTCTGGAGTACGACTACGCTTATAAGAGCTATGGCGAGGGGGCCGAGCCGTCGGAGCTGGGCCCCGTGCTCTCGGCCGAGACCCCTCAGAGCGGAGGCGTAAGTGGGGGCTCGGCCCCCTTCCTGTCGTGTCATGTCGTCCCCACTTCCTCTCCTGATCTCCTTCGTGTCGGCCGTACTTGTGCGCGATGCCCCTTCCGTGATGGGGGTCTCCTTTCCAATCGGCTTCTGCACTGCAAACCCCCTTTCTCGATGCCACCAAAGCCTCTTCATGTTTGCAAGCCAGCATTTCATGGATTGATCTTCTCTGCCCTTCCCTGGTCTGGTGTTTGTTGCAGCTGGCTGCCACATTGTGAACGCGTCGTCTTGTCCCGTAACCTTGTCTGTGGCGTGTGGATGTCAAACTCCCTCCCCCTTTCCCTTTGGTGCCCTTTGGTGCCCTTTGGCTGCCCTCTGTACCCCTTGCTCGGTGGTGGTCACTTCCTCTTTTTTTGCTGCATGGTCTGTTTCCTGCCAGCTGAGTGTCCCTTCCTGTCTTGACGTGGCCACTTCCTCCTGCCATGGCTACCATTCACCGCGGTGTGGCCGCAGAACATCCCTTTGTTGTGGTCGGACCTGGGCTGTGCGTTTTATGACATCATTTCCTCCTTCCCACGCTCGTTCCAAGTGGGTCACATTGCCCGTTTTAGGTGCGGATTGCCTAATGTTATTCCATGTCCTGCAATGACTCTCTCCTTATGTTTTCCATTTCTCAGCCCTCTGTCCCTCTTTCCAGGCTACTTCCTGTGATGTCCTGTCTTTCATGATGTCATTTCCTGTAACATCGCCCCACCTCTTGCCTCACCTCCTTGACGCCTGATGGCCACGGTCAAGGAGAAGTGGTCTCAGAAATGGGTTGCCACGTCTTTCTTGCCCCAAAATGGCAGCAGGCAAGCCCGTGAAAGGCTTCCTCCCTGTTCTGTGATGATGTCATCACCTGTCCTATGATGTCATCGCACTCCGGGGCCATCTCTACAGACCGATCCTTCCCCCCTCACCCCCCAGTATGGTGCCAGTGCTGGATTTGATTACCAGTTTGGGGGCAAAGGGCAGAAGCCCCCACCCCCAAAATGGGACATGGTAATCTCTAGTCCATGCTGCCATCTTGGGATGTCTCTCCCCCCCTCAAAAAAAAAAACACCATTTACTCAAACATTGTTGGTTCTGGTTTTTATTTATTTCTTGGGGTGAGCAAAAAGCAGCTATAGGACTCACGGGTTTAAATATTTCTTAGGAGCCAACTGGTTGAATTTTCATCCCTGTCTTTCTGGGAGGGAAACACCCCTAAAACCACGTTTTCATGCTCTCTTTTCAGCGACGTGGTTTTCAGGACATCCTGCTTAAAAAGAAGGGAAATATTGGGTGTTTTGAGATTTCGAAAAGAAGACTCAAGAGGGTTTGAAGTCGGGGAGGGGGGCTTCATCATATTCCCAGAGTCTCTCTCTCCCCCACCCCAATTTTAAACAGAAAATACTGAAATCCACGCCCTTACATTGAAACAATGCCAAGGCGCTGTTCTGAAACAAGGGGATTTTACGGCCTCCCTTCTGTAAGGAAGCTTTTCCTACAGGATTGCCCCTGCCGAGAGGCGTCTTCCGCCTTTAAAAAAACAAAACAAAAAAGAGACTGGTTCGTAAATCTGATCATGCAGTCCAAGACCCCCAAGGAAGGGTTTGGCTCCAGGTATGTCCCGTTCCCCCCCCCATTTTAACCCCACGGGGCCACCTCCTGAGGAGGAGGGCAGCTCTCGTGGTCTTTCTCTATTAAGATTGATTAATTAAAATATCTTGGCTTCCCTAGCTGGATTGAGACAAACTGACTTTTTTGCAAACGAAAGGCTCACGGTCCAGAAGAATATCATTGCCCTCTCGGTTTTTCATGAGAGTTTGAGCATCGCGGTGGCGATGCTCACACAAACACTAACACAAACAAACAAACAAACAAACACAACTTAGTGCCCTCTCGGTTTTTCATGAGAGTTTGAGCATCGCGGTGGCGATGCTCACAGAAACACTAACACAAACAAAGAAACAAACAAACAAACAAACAAACAAACACAACTTAGCCAACAATGCTCCTTCCACAGCAGCCACTGTATCTTCAGCGTTGGGTGCTGTTCCCAGCTATAATTTTATTTGTTTGTTTGTTTGTTTGTTTGTTTGTCTATCTGTCTGTCTGTTTGTTTGTACGTACGTACACACACACACACACACACACACACACACACACACACACACACACATACATACA